TTTTCGCTTCAATAATCGTTCCATTTCTCAAAAGGCTAACAATGAGCAATCTAAATTAGCTAACATTGTTATTCTAATAAAAAAAGACAAAACAAAATTAATATAAAAATGCTAATTAAAAGTTAATGCTAATGGTGAGGATAGGTCCTGTTTGGAATTTGAATCAAAGCTGAAATAATAGCAATAGGTTCAAGCTTCTAGAAATATATTTTGTGGTTTATGCTTTTTCTAATAAATAGATATTTGCATCTGATCTCTTAAATTTATTCACATTATAATTGAGATACAAACTCAAATCTTTCTCAATTTTATTTGTTTAATACATGGCTAGCAATGATCATACAGGTTTGATTTTATGGCTTCATTAGTTTTATGCTTGTAGTCTTTCTTTTTTGTAGTTTTTAGCTTCATTGTGATTGGGTTTAGAATATAACTGCAGTCATATGCTTTTTAGGTTGATATTTTAAAACGTATGCTAACAGATTATGAAATTAACAGACGGGGAAACAAGACAAATGAAATTGTTTATGAGTTTATCAAAGCGTGCAATCCTTTGGTTTCCTTCCAATGAACTATTTCTAACAGTTATAATTGCTCATCATGTTTTATTTGCCTAAAACTTTTTCCAGTGCTTTTCAAACTTTGAGCAGATTATGAACATTGATTTAATGGAAGAAAGTCTTCATGTTTCCGGTTTCATCTGATTGGTTATACTTTATTCTAGTAGCGTGTTTTGTAACTTTCGCAGCAAATTATCCTTTCCATTTCATCTTTCCGTGAGAGAGAGTGTTAGAGAGAGAAGCTCTGGTTTTTAGGGTTTTGGTGCGATTTTCTTCTTCTCCCGGCCGTCTGGCCGGCATGGCGGTTAACTTGTCTGGCTTTCCGCCCCTCCCTGGATCCTCCTCCTTATTAGGAGCAGCCCCTTCTCCTCAACCTCCTGCTCTTACCTATGCTAGCAACCTCTCGGCGCCTTCTTCCAGCCGGGAGGAATGGCCGATGGCTTTTGTGAACCCATCCAAAAAACTTTCTTTTGCGGCCTCAGAGCTCTCTGAGGGCAAAGGTCTTTGGGAGCTTTCTTTGGTGGGTTACTCCCTTGGACCTAGACCCTATTATGAAAGACTCCTTGCTACTATGAACAAGGCGTGGAAGCTCAAAGGATCGTTCTCCCTTCTCTCCCTTGCTGATGATTTCTTCCTGCTGAAATTTACGTCTAGTGAGGATTACGACATGATTTGGTCAGGAGGACCGTGGTTCCTTCTTGGCAAGCCTTTCTTTCTGCAGAAATGGAACCCGAAATTTCAACCGAAGCGTGATGAATCGGCTTCCATTCCTTTGTGGGTGAAAATTCTCAACCTCCCGTTGGCTCTTTGGACACCTGCAGGTATTTCGAAAATCGCTAGTTATATTGGTGTTCCGTTGTATGTGGATACTCTTACGGCCAAGCGAACCAGGTTAACGTTCGCTCGTATTTGTATTCAAGTGGATAAAAACTCTGTTTTACTAGAAGAAATCCCTTTGGATTTGGATGGGGAGGATTTGGTTCTTAAAGTGATTTATGACTGGAAACCTTCAAGGTGTGAAGGCTGTGGCTCGATTATTCATCCGTTCTCTCTTTGTCCCTCTAATCCTTCTCTCAAACCTTCTCTCCCTCCAAAACCTGTTCGTGGTAGGAGTATGAGCCGGGCGCCGGCGGTTAGAGGTAATCGTTCAGCCTCTAGACCCAATTCCAATCAGCCGGTTATCACGCAGCCTCTTCCTAACGCCTCGGTTATTCCGTCTCATATTTTGGAGCCTGCTTCCTCCTTACCTACTTCCAACCCCTCCAGCCTCCAACCTCCCACCGCCCAGGACCCGCCTAATGCTGAAGCTGCTAAAATTCCTCTAGCTACTTCACCTGTCCCCAACCCTTCTCTTCCTAACTTGAATCTACCTCATGAAGATTCCTCTTCCTCCGGTCAACCTCCACCGCATCTGCTTTTACGTCCATCTCAAGTTGTTCTTGCCAACAGCTTTGCTTCTCTTCCGATGGAAAACCTTGATATCCCTGATGATGGGAATGGAGATGATGTCTTATCTTCCTCTTCCCCATCAGGTAAAGACCTTCCCTCCTCTTCTACTACTATATCCTCTCCTTCCTCCTCTAAGACCAAGTCAAACAACCTTGTCCTTCCAGATAAAAAAGCAAAGCCAAAGACGGCCAAGAAGGCCAAAAAACCTAAATGATCAATGTCCCTTCCACCTATTGCGGCTTGGAATGTTAGAGGGTTCAATAACCCTGTTAAAGTCAAGCTCTGTCGTGATCTTATTGCCGCCTACCGTCTTAAGCTTCTTTGCATTTTAGAAGCTAAAATTCAGTCCAATGTTGCTCAAGATCCGTGGTTTCTTTTCTCCCATTCTCTTTTTGAGAATGAGAAAAGTTTTGATAATTTCTCTTGTTCTTCTCCGGGAAGGATTTGGATTAAATGGGATTCGGCTCAAATTTCCTTTACTCCTCTCTCTGCCTCTTCTCAAGTGATTCATGGAATTGTTCAAGCTGGCTCTTTTCCTCCGATTTATCTGTCTGCTGTGTATGCTGGTAATGATTTGGTGGACAGGAAGGAACTTTGGGAAAACCTTTTGGGCTTTTCGGCTAATTTGGAGCACCCTTGGGTGGTTATGGGTGATTTTAACTGCTGTAGGTTTCAAAATGAAAAAGCGGGTGGAAACCTTTTGACTGGTGAAAGATTAGGGGAGCTTAATAGTTTTGTTTTTGAGTCAGGCTTGCATGACCTGGCTTCGGTGGGGCTTTTTTATACATGGCATAATCAAAGGAGTGATAATCCTATTCATATTAAGTTGGACCGTATGCTGGTTAACACTGGTTTTCTGGATGTATTCCCATCTGCTTATTACAAAATTGATCCTCCCACGGGATCGGATCATTCGCCTATAATTCTTTTTGCTGCTCATTGTAATAGGACCTTTTCTAGGTTTATGTTCAAGGTCTTCTGGACTAATGTGGACGAATTTTGGGTTGAGGTTTTAAAAGCTTTTAGTAGGCCGGTTTCGGCTAGTCCTATTGCTTTCTTCTATGACTGTTTGAAAGAGCTTAAGGGTGCTATCAGGGCTAAAGATTGGAGTTCTTCCAATTATATTTCCAAGGGTATCTTGGAAATGAAAAGTTTACAACAACAATGTATTAATGCCATTCAGTTGGATCCTTTAAACCATAGTTTGAACTGCTCCCTTAAAGAGGCGAATACTCGTTTAGCATCTTTAAACTCTGATTGGGTTTCTTGGATTTCCCAAAGGGCTAAAGCTTACTGGTTATCTCAAGGTGAGGATGATCTTGGTTTTCTCTATGCCAAGATCAGATCCAGGAAAAACCGGAATACTATTAATGAAATTTCTACTTCGACGGGCACTCTTTCTTCACATGAGGATTTAGCTCATGTTCTTATTTCCCATTTTAAGGAGCTTTACAACTCTAATCCTCCTCCTTTGGAATCTGGTTATGTCATTCCTGAGGGCAATAAGGTTCCTAATGCCTTAATCCCTTCTCTTGTTAGCCCTGTGACTGAGGAAGAAATAAAAGCTGTTGTGTTTGAGGGGGTTTCTTATTCTGCTCCGGGTCCTGACGGGTTCTCCTTTGCCTTTTACCAAAAGACTTGGCATATTACACATATTTTGGGTATCGATTTATGCAGAGCTGTTAAGCAATTTTTTTCTACTGGTATGATGCCTAGAGGTGCTAAGCACACTGCTATCACTCTGATTCCTAAAGGGACCCATTCTTGCTCCATTTCGTGGATTTCAGAACCTATTTCACTTATGCAACGTGTGTTTACAAAATTTTGGCCAAAAAATTTTTTCTGGCTAGAGATTGAAGCCGATTCTTCCTATTTACTATAATGAAAGTCAATCTGGGTTTATCTCTAAAAGGTGCTCCACGGACTAATGTTATTGCTTGCTTCTGAAGTTAAGGGAAGTTCATATTCTTGCAAAAATTATTTTTGTGCCAAGCTTAGATATCAAGAAGGCCTATTTGATTCTGCTCTCTCTCTACTTTTCTCTTTAACAGAGAATGAGACAGAAGGTTTCCGGATGTTTTTATAACTGGATTAGAGGCTGAGCGATGGATGTTCATTTTTCTATCTGCATTAACTGCGGCTTTGTAAGGGTTTCTCCAATTCTTCTTCTGGCCTGAGACAGGGCGTGCCCTCTCTCTCCCTTCTTTCTTTATTATCTGGATGCTCTTTCCTTTTCTTCTTGAGGTTTCTGGTGCGTTTTAAGGGGCTGAATTTTAACAACCTCTCTTTCAATCATTCTAATGTATGCTAATGACCTTTTGGTTTCATTTTGGGCTGCCACGATGTGAATGCCTCACTCTCTTATTGGCAATTCTCAATAATTTGCTAAGCTTCTTGGCCTGAATTATCAAACCGATTCCAAATAGTTCCCTGCTTGTTTTCGAAAGGTTTTACTCACAGAGAGAGCGATCTCCTCTGGCTTTGGGATTCAAAGGGTGGAGGGGGAACTTTTTTCCTTACTTATCTGGCATTCACTATTTCCAACCTCCAGATTGACTTTTGCTTACTTCCTAGCCCCCTTCTGATAGAATTTTCTACTCTACTTCGGGTTGGAAGTTAAATTTCTTTCTTTTGCCAGGTTAGACTCCAATTTCTCAAGTTCACCATTGCAGCACTATTGCTTATGGATTCGTGGTTGAAAATTTACTAAAGCTGTTTAGAAAGTCATTGCTAGAATTGTTCCAAATTCTTGTTTGGGCACATTTGAAGACAAGAAAATGCACTTAATCTCTTCTGGAAATCAGCGTTGTTATTCCTAAGTCCAAAGGGGGGCCTTGTTACCATTCCCTTGATTCTTTATCATAAAATGGCGAACCTCTTTCTTTTTTCAGATGTTTAACACCTGCAATTTGGAATGTTCTTGGTTTCAAGGATCAAATATGAGTCGCCTTGGAAAACTCCTCCAACTCATGCCTCTAACTTCTGGAAAATTGATTTGCTCGGTGCTGTTTCTATTCGTCCACAGATTTCCACTTGAGGGTCAACTTTCCATGCAACTTGTCTTTTCTTTGGGACCCGTGTGTAAATGACAATGCCTGTGGCGGATTTATTTTTCTCTCCAATCGGGCTTTCTTTTTCCAACGCTTTTTCTTGGCATGCAAGGATCGATTTGAGATAATTCTTTATTCCTCTCGTCACTTGGTAATTGGTGTATTTCTCGCACCAGGAAACATTTCATCACATACACCTCTATATATATCACGGTACATCGTCGATTTCATTATTCATCCAATTAATGAGGCGAAATCGTTCCCGCCTTATTTGCTTGGAAGCACACCATTGTCATTTGTTTTGCGTGACTCTCCTCCAAACAGGCACTTCTAACAACGCTATATGATGCTTCATATTAATTATTTTGATAGGAAATTTTTAGTTCTTTGGATGTTGAAGTTAAGGGTGCTTATAAACTAATATTCTCTGTGCAAATACTTGGCGCATCTTTGAGGTGCTAATTTCTTGTTTTGCAATGGATGGCCGTTGAGAGCGGCAAAATTGACACAAATACGAGCTGAACTATGAAATCGGTCATTATTGCTTATGAGGCATCATGCTGATCTGGGTTCGAAGTCCTTTTAAGTAATGCTGTTGCATCTGAGAACCACTCACATATTTTTAATGGTGAATGCTTGATGTTGCACTCTTCAATCTTTTTGATGAAGTTAGCATTCCTCTGGCATCTGGGAGGATTTTTGCTTAGACCAACTGAGTAGTATTTTTATGCCAAATTGATTCCAATTTTGCTTTCAATAGAAGGGACAAATTGTTTTTGTTTCTGACATTAGCTGCGGTGGATTACTTTGTCTGGAAGGAAAGGAATGTGTAGGAGGTTTTCTAATATTTGAAATCTGCCGTGGATTGATGAAAACTGAGATTTAAGAGCTGTTATCTGCTAAGGTCATTAACTGGAATGGATTGATAAACTTAAAAGATAAATTTGATACATTCTGGGTATTTTTGGGTCTTTGATACCCTGCGGGGCTGTTTGTGATTTACGAGGGTGATTGGTCTGTTCTCTTGGAGGCTAGGAAGCTGAATATTTGGTTTTAACATGCTGAGCTGCAGCTTTTTTGATTCTTGGGTTATTATTTGGAGATTGGTGCTTTTGCCTTTGTCAATGGTCTCTGCTAGCCTGTTTGGCTTTGGTGTTTAAATTTCGGCTGTATCTCTATTGTTTGCATATGCGAATTTGGACGGCTGTTTACTGCTGCTTTATGGCTGGAAGGGGTTTATTAACCTGGGACGATGAGATGCTCCAGTTGGCTGTCCCTCGTCGTAACCCTTGGAGGGCCTTCGGGCAACCAGGGGCCTTTTTTACTGCTAGTCTCTGTGTTAATTATTATTTGGAGCATGGGTGTTCTGGATTACATTTATTCCTGCTTGTTGAGCCCTATTATTTATCTTCTCGCAGGGTACTTCTGGAACGTGGATCACGGGTTGCCCCATCCCTGGATTTCATCTTCTGATTTGGGTTACAATTCTTCAGAGCTTTCATGCTTATGCTGTCGCGGTGGGCGAGGTTTTTGGTTTCCTTTGCTTGGTTTTTGGGCATTCGATGCCTGCTTTTGTCTTTATAGTGTTTTCTGGTTTTTTGTTGTTATCTTCTCATAGGCCTTCCTAAGTTTTTGTTTTTGCTTAGGAAAGATTCTTTACTTGTTAATCTTCTTTACATCGTAACCTTTTTTTATCAATATAGATGGGCAAAGCCCCTTAATTTTCCCAAAAAAAAAAAAAAAAACTTTCTACAACTTTACCCAAGGTATTAAGAAAATTATTCAAAACTAAATGCTTAGTTGATTCTATCATTTAATGCCTTATAATTTGCGCAAACCGCTTACAAAATTTGAATATCGGCACAAAATTTACATATCAATAGAATTTATCTTATTTCTCAAAATATAAGATAATAATTTCTAAATCCTTGTCAATTAAATTGGGCCTAAATCACTTTCATATGAATCGTTTGGGACAGCTTGAAATGTAGCACAGGATTCCTGAGATATACAGTAAAAAAGCTTTCGAACATCTTTGCTTGGACAGTCCATCAAAGATCCACGTGATCGCGTAAAGATCATTTCATCATGCTTGCTCAAGCTGTTAATGAATATGGCTTATATATTTCAGATTTTATTGAGATATCATTTCTTTTATTTTTTAAAAACAAATTTTATTAGTACCAGTTTTTTTTTTCAAATTTAAAAAATTTTATATCAGAGAGTCATTTTAAAAAAAAGCAGTACGAAAGATTGTCTCCCAAACAGAAAACCTAAGTTATAAGGACTTTAGGACATCTCCAACTGCCAAAAATCTATTTTTCCACTTTCAAAAATATTAGTAAACAATCATCATAATAATAATAACTTTATCTCTCTCCAACCGAACTCTTTTCTAACATCAAAAAGAAATCTTTATTTATATTCTTTTGATCTGAAAGGCCGACAATTGTGAGATAGGATTCGGTTGTATTCGGGTAATAGAGTGAACGAATATTAGATTTGTAAAATGTTCACAATCGAGAAAAATACAAAAATATATTTTCATTTGCCATACTGTTGAACGCTCAATATTAACTTATCTTATATATTTATATATACTATATATATATAATATACTATACTTATATATTATATATATATATAATATATATTATATATATAAAACAAAATTTTATAATTTTAATTTTTTTCCCTAATTTATGCTATTATCAATCAGTATCAATCGCAAAAATTAAGGGGGATAATTTTTCATGTTCTTATTTTTTTAGATAATTAATATAATTTTATTCTGGCTGGATTTTCTTATTACATTCCTTATTATTTTTTCAAAATATGAAAAAAAATATTGTTTTCAACCAGAATTGTTAAATTGATTGTCAACAATAACTTTACAATTAAATCTATAGCAGCCTCAATCACGTTTTTTAGTCATATAATATAGATATTGCATCATTCAGACTTTTCTTTTTAAATAAAAAAGCTGCAATTATATTGAAAAAATTATCGAATCTATTCCAACAATCTCAATCATTATAGAATGATATACCAAAATATTTAATAAATCCACAAGAACAGCTAATAAATAGGCCATCCATTTATTTAATTTAAAAAATATTTACAAAATATTTTCATTAAATCACTCATATGGATGGATAGGGATTTTCTATCAAATAGCTACAATGTTAATTCTGATTTCTTTTATTAATATTATCAAAAATTTATGTCACAAAATTAACAAAATGCATTTTAGAATTTATGTGCAGCACCATTCAAGATCAATTTCCCTCTCCATATGGATCCAAAACATTCATTTCAAACTTAAGGAACTCTATTTCCAAAACCAATTCCCCTTCATACATGATGTTTGGAGCCCCCTCAAGGCTCCAAAGTTAAAATTATATGAATTTTAGCTCCACGTTTAGGAGCTACAACAACTCATTACTCCCTTTCATTTGTTGATGACACAAGATCAATAAATGAACCTTGCATTTCTTTCATGCATTATATTTGGAGCTTTTTTCAATGCTTCTAATTTATTGTCTTGCATGGATCACTCTGAGCTTATAAAAAAAAAATATTCAAGCTCCTTTAATTCTGCTTCATTAGAGAACCTAACCAACAAATGTTTCCACAATGGTGAGTGTTATTGGAGTTCTCGTTCACAGTTCTCTAAGGACATTTTATGTGCCTCAGAATTGACCATAATATTGATTCAACTTTATGGAGCTCAATAATTCCTAATTATTACTTGCTCTCATTTTTAAAGAACTCGCATAATAAGTCTCTTAAAGCAATAATAAATAATATAGCCCATATCTTGAATAATTTATTATAGTTGGAGCATACTCTCTCATAACGCATAGCCAATTGTTAAGGATACGCTCCAACAATCTTATGTCCTCACCTTGAGCGATTGATTATACTCACTTTGATCTCTGTGTATAGTGTGGTGAATTGTTTCATACGAGAGTACTCTCAGGATTCACCAAAATGTTATAGTCCTCATTCATGCTTCATCTTCTCTCTATTCACAGCTTTCCCACTATCATGTATAAACCCTACTATAAATAGCTCATGTTGTTTCTCTGGCGTGGGTAATAATATATTAAGTAGAAGTGCATCATATCAATCTACCTATTTAAGCATGTAACCTCACTACCCTCTTCATTACTCATGATGCTATCCTCTCTACGACATCTAACATAAATCATCGCTGGTTCGAATATACAATCTCCAACTATGGGTCATGACACTGACATCTACTGACGTCCTAATCACAAGGTCAACTAATATCATTCATACAGCTCGATAATCCAATGTTATCGCTCTGTACTATATGTGTCTATATAGATAGAGACGCAACAACATTTGAATAGAGACTCGCTTTGTTACTCTCTCTTCCATAATCGAAGCTGATTTACTGACTTGAGATTATGTATACGCAATCGATACACACTATATGTCACGTATGATGTTGATATCTGCTTGTATAGCACATCTCATTCTATACAGATATAGAACAATGATAGCTAAGAATACATATAGATCACTACATCATCCAACATGTGACATTATCTGTACAGACACTCTCATCTTGCTCGCTAGTAGACATTCTATATTAAGATAGCTCGGAATATCTGTGCCCTTCATGTAATAGAATACGATTGATATATTAACAATCTAAAGCGATATCTCTCCCATATACGCACACATATAATTAGCAATGTGCTTAGTGTGACACTCTCTAGATACTAATCATCTTAGTCGTACCTACTACTTCAGTTCTCAGGTCTCTCTTATCTCAATTGCGCTCTCGCAAAAGTGAAATTGTGCCATCTCTCATCCGTATCACTCATTCTAATATGTGATCCTACTATTATCGGCTGAACATTCATCCTCAAGATTCCTCACTTGTTCAGAGGCCAACTCCTCAACGACATTTCAACTCTTAACTGGGACTTATGAGAGTAGTATCTCTCCTTAGATAGTATCACCTCATACATCATAAGTGCCGGTTGAGCTCTTCCACTACACTCTACTAGTTCTATTCGCATCAGATCTAACAAAATACGATCATACTCAAGCTCACTCTCTTGAAACGAATATTTCACCATGGTACTCCTTCCCTCTTGTATAAGTCCGACTTCCTGATCTCTCTGTTATGTCGGCGCTCTAAAGGTTACTATCACTCCTCCAAGACTCAACTTAGAAATGCTCTGATATAGCTATCTTTTCTAAAATTAAACTCCATATATTCCTGTGTCTCTAGCCATCTTCAGCGAAACGCTTAGACTCTTTTCTAGGTTGACCCCTCTATCTTCAAGGCGTGTGTGACTCCAACTGCCCATACTCATGCCTGGAATCACGCTCTCTACTCAACACCAAGGCTACGACATCTGATCGTCCCCACTCAATACACATAAGGCAATAAGATATGCATGATCACTATTATTACTTGCGACACTACTTTATTTTTCGACAGCTAGCTACTCCTATGTGCTAATGATAGCATCGCTCACCTTTTCTAGACTCTCATATCTATCAAGTTTTCCAGTGCCTCCATGGGCGAACTACAATCTAGTATACAGTAATACCACATAATGCGATAGCTCTTTCCACATAGTACATTCTTCTCTAGTGTTTGTTCAAGAGTGCCAATAGACTTAAAACTTAGATGATTCCTATACATATATCGTGCTCTACTATCTCATTGATTCTTCGGATTTTGCTATAGATCGCTCTCGTCACTTTATATAGTATCCATCATATTGTCAGTGAGGATACGGAGTGTAGTATATTATCAAATCGGTTATCATTCTTATCTTGGTTAGAATATGCAAGGGAAAAATCGAAGTCAGGTACGAGAATATAAAATATTAATACTCAGTGCAGCCGACTGCTAAGTATATGGTTGAATTGTGATAATAGTAAATATGGGATGTACAGTATAAATTTAACATTCATGTCTAACTGGCCTATTGATACTGCTGTAGCGATCGTCCACGACTGAATACTTTCAATTTACTCTTTATCCGGCAGATCTCAGCGATCGTCTCCGCAGAAACCATGTAGTTTTATGTTTAATAAATTGATTTACTATTTAGTGCTCACTTTACATTAACTGATATGACCAAATGCACAGTATTATAGATTGTTTGTGACATCGTTGTAAATCTGGTCTCAGGTAAACATACCGTTGTCGGAGTTGTAGTTAATATATCTGTATTACCCAGGTAGTCCCTAGTTAACCCGTATAATGATCGTTATCATAATCAGTCTCACTATATATAATTATGCTTATTATATTTTCCATAATAATAGCATCACCAAGTCCATTCAACTATTAAGGAACTTACGGTTGCAGTATAGATCTTGTGCCCTGGGACAATCTGTAAAAATCTTCAATAATATCTGCACTACACAAAATTTTTCTTATATATTAATGAACACACACCTTAATCCTGCAATCACTCAACAGAGTGCCTAATTCTTTCGTGAACAATTTAGCAGACTCTTATTTTAT